GCCTGCGTGATGACACCCTTCGGATTTTGTCTGCATCGGGTGAACCCTTCTGGCTCATTTCCATGGCTTTAGCCAGAACAAATGTTCTTAAAAGGGAATTGTTCACCTGATTCTCACAAGAACGATAACCTTTGGAAAAAGAATCTTTCTACTCTCTCGGGTGCACAGTAAAACAGGAAGTAGCCCATCCTCGCACCACAGACTTCTGGCCCCTCACAGAAGAGCTTTGACTGCGTTCCCGTTCCCGGCTGGTTTCCGGGATTGGGTCTCTGGAACTATGGTCAGTAGTAACATTATAGCAAACACTTCGCTGTTGCCTTCTTCCACAAAGTTTCCATTGTCCTCAGGGCAGGGACCAGGCTGGAGACTTAGATCTATGGCGACAGTGACTGCTTTGAAGACCCATCAGGAGAAAATTATCCCAGTTTTCAGGACCAGGAAAAGCTGGGTAACTGATCTGTTTTTATCTCGTGGTCACTGTGGATCGAGTAACACCTGTTCGTATTTTCCTCTTTGTTTTGGCTACTGGGAAGCTGACAGATTTCTAATCCCATCTCCAGAAACTACATTAGACCTGCTAGTAGTAAACGCATCTCTGGAGAATACCTGTGCCTTAACACATATTCTTGTTCTCTAAAACAGCTCTGGTTTTACCTCATTTTCTAGTCTGTGTGTTCTCTTGGCTCCAGTTTCATTACCTAGGAATTTTGGGTTGCTTACTACCTATTTTTGTAAGCTCCTCAAAGGCTTTATGGAACAGGGAAAACTTAAGGCAAATAATTTTTTAAAGCATCATATAATAATAATAATAACAATAATAATAATAATAATAATAATAATAAGTAATCCCTAGTTTATCGAACCTTGTTATCAACGAGGCACTGTCCTAGTACTGAAACTATTTTATTTGCCCAGATAGGAGATAAGTACCATTGTGATGGTGTCCATTTCACAGATGAGAAAGCTGAGTCTCAGGGAAGTTAGGGAATGTGCCCGAAACCACATAACACGTAATGGAAGCAAGATTCAAACCCAGGCAGTCTGAATTACATAAGTCATACAAGAGAAGAAACAATAAATATTTAATTTCTAAAAGAAGTAGAGGCCTGAGCTTAGCATTTTCCGCCTTTAAAGGAGGTATCTATCATACACTTCGTTCACACATTGATGCTAGAGAATCCGTATCAATAGACAGAATGAGGCAGTAAAAATCCAAAGGACCAGTAATCCACAAATAATTGGCTTTTGATCTTGCATCATAAAAATATTCATTCACTCACTCACTCTTGCACTCAGTGCCTCTTATGGCCAGGCATGGCCCAAGTGCAGGAACAGAGGTGAAGTGGGCCCAGTCCCTGCCCCCAGGAGCTCGGGGGCAATAGGGCGAGTCAGACAGGTGAAGGGCACCTTGGGGTTCAGAGTGGGCTGCCGGCAGACCAGAGCAGGGTGTGACATGATCATTCTTAGAGCGCATTAGCTCTTGGCTTCTGTCTGTGTCCTGGCCGATAACGTGAATAAGAAGAATCAACTCCCTGATGAGGCTGTTTCGGTGATTTTACACATAGTACAAAGCTCGTAGCCTAGACCAGCACTCTAAGTGCTCAATACCTGTGAGCCTTTAGCTGAGTGCGTGGCAGCCCGGGTGCTTTGCCCTGACACGCGCATGCACTTGCACACACGCGTGGTTCCAGAAACTTAAGGACAGAGGCTGGCCCCCGCCTCTCCCTGCCTCCTTCCAGGAGCTGATTTACAGTCCCCTGGCAGCCTGGCACTCATTTCTCCACGGCACTCTCTCAGAATCAGTGTCTTGTGGGAATACATCACCCACGCAGGATGAATATTCCTTCAAGATACACTTGAAAATCATCCTCCACAGTGCCTGGCCCCCAAGAGGCTTGCGGGCTCTTGGGCCACACTTGTTCCGCTTCACTGTGTCTCTTTGGCACACCACTGCTGCGGCACACGGCACGGTTCCCCGGCTGCATAACGGAACAGGTCAGGTTCCCACTTGAACAGGTCTAAGGAACAGGTCTGTTGCAAAGGGGGAGTTTCAGGTGTATTACTGGCTGGAGCCACGGAGAAAACATATGTGCTATGCCTTCTCTACATCAGCTGGGAACCCTATGTCTCTGGTTTTATACTGAACAAAAAGGAATTAATCATTGTCTCATCAACCCCAGCTCATACTGAAGAGTTCCCTCTCCAAGTTTGTTTTGCCATGCTCTCTGCAGTCAGTCAAACATTACAGCTCTTTTCTAAATACTCCAGCAGCCAGATGGCAGGAACACCACTGTGACAAGGCAAGACTCTCCCAAGGACAACTTGGTGATGATGCATCTTCAGGCATGATGGCACTCGGCTGAGCGCCTTCGTCCAGGCAGACCTCGGCAACTGCCCCACCTCATCCGGATTCTTCAACCCAAAATGTGATCATCCCAAGAGTAAGACAAACATTCAACTCTGCAATCAGAAACTGGCTGGTAAAACCAACACAGTCCTACTTCTCTAGACTCTGAATTGTGGGCAGAAGTAGGAAATGGGTAGAAGACCACACGTGAGGACCTATCTCTCAAGATTTCCCTCTGGGTTTTACATTACTGTGCCCTAAAGTTCCAAATACTTCTGCACCAAATTTCAGGGGTATTTATAACAATGTTTGCCAAGTTACTTTTGTAGTTTTTTTTAACTTAAGCATTAATGAACTTATAGTTACAAATCCTAGAATGTAGGGAAGTTGCTTGTTCCTGGTGAAAATGCTACATATTCTCTTCTAGAGTTAATTACACCTTGATTTCTCAGACCTTTCCTAAGATACTTTATTTATTCTCCCTGTGTGCTTAAGTGACTGTAAAATCACAACCTGTACTATATGCTTTTGGAACGATAAATCCCCTCAAAAGAGCGCTGCCAGGCTGGACCAGCTGGCTTCCTCCCCTTCCTAAAACTGTGCGTTCTTAGACACACGCTGCCTCCATCCCTTCTGCTGCTGGCTGACTCCAGGCTGTGTGACACCGCCCCACACTGACAATTATATGCAAACAAGAGACTCCTGGAAAGGAACACAAAGGGGGCGTGGCAGGGAGCCAGCCTTCAGGTCTCTGCTGCAGGAGGGCTCTGCCTTGACTCCAGCAGTGGCTCAAACAGCTTGTTTATGGTCGCCTGTGTGTAGGATTTGAGGTCTGTGCACCCAGGTTCTGAACTCTTCCTCCTCTGAGCAAGGCATGTAACCCCATGACCTTTTGTTTTCTCAGCTGCAGAGAGGCATGGCCACGGTCGTGTTGTATTGTATGAGGTGGTGCATGCTAAGGCATTCGGTCAAGCCCACCCCCATCCTCCACCCACACCCTGCAGCATCTACTCTATTTCCTGTAATTCCCCAAAGTTCTTTTGCTCCCTTTCCCTTTTCATTTTCCACCCCGATTTGGTTTCTGTGGCTTTTAATTGTGTCTCTAAAAGGCATCAGCTGGAAAGCTGCACTATCTGGGGGCTGCCACAGAGAGTGGACTTGGGCATTCCATTTTTCTTCACATTCTTGGTGAGGGAAGACTTTCCTAAACCACGTGCACACATCTCTGGGGAATAACTTCATAAATGTTGGCACGTGGACACTTGTGTGGTCACTACTTAGGTGGAGGTGGGAAGTTTCCCCGGCCCCCCTGGAGACTCCCCCCACCTGGTGCCCTGTCAAAGTTACTACCAGGCCCAAAGACACCCCCTCTTCTAACATCCATCGCCATAATTAGCTTTGTCTAAAGCTGAAGAAAAAGTACTTAGGGAAGGTTGGAGTCCCAGTGATAACTGTTACTACTGACCGCAAGGAATGTACTTCCAATCCTTCCTCTGAAGAGAGGGAAGATTCTGGAAAGGAGAAGGGCCCGAACAGTCTAAATCACCCAGGTCCCGTGGAACAAGACCCTTGTTTAGCAGCCAAGACCCGAAGTTCAGAGACACGAAGTGACAGCCCAACTTCCTGCTGTGGAGTAACTTTCCTTCCAAACACAGCCGTCACAGAACACCCTGGGTGTCAGGGAGGGCGCGGCACGTGGGGTGGGGGTGGGAACAGCACTCCCCCGTCCCGCAGAACTTCTCTCCAGGGAGCAGCGTACACTTGGTCCCGGAGTCGCCCCCGCTCCCGCCGCAGGCACCTTCACGCGGCTGGCACGCCGCGTTCAGAAGGCAGTGTTCCTGCGAGCCAGTGCCTGCCCGCCCACGGGGCCCGGCCGGGCTCCCCACACGCACTGCGCAAGGAGACCCTCAGTTCCCTCTCCCCCAACCCTGCTGCCCTGCCACCTGCGGGGTGTCCTGAGGGGGTGGGAGAGAGGAGGGTCTCTGCCACCTCTTCCCGACTCCTCCAAAGGACCTTAAAGCCCATTCGTGGCCACATCTAAATTTCTGGAGCCCTGGGAGGGCAGTCCCGAGACTTGCGCCATGGCCCAGCCTGGTCACCACAAGCTGTGTGACCTTGGGCAAGTCACTTCCCATCTCCGGATTGGGATCCACACGGGGGGCTGTTTCTGTGTCCCCAAAGCCACATCCAGTTCTGCGATTTCCTAGTTCTTTACTCCACCCCAGCGTTCCGAGACAGCCCCCGCCTCAGCGAGACCCCCGTCTTTTGTTCTGGGGGCGACACGGAGAAGGGAGGAAGGGAGAGCTCGGGAAAGGGTCAGGGCCGGTGGCCTCGGCGCTAGGAGCCGCTCACTGGACAGTCGGGTCCGGGGAAGTCACCCGACAACCCCCGCGCTGACCGCTGACCGCTTCCTTCCACGATCCCGTCACGGCCCGCCCCGCGAGGCAGAGCGCGGTGGGCAGACGGTGTCGGCTCCGGTGCAGCGCGGCACCTCTTCGACGGCCCCGTGGGAAGGCCCACGGGACGCGGGCACGCGAGGGGCATCCCTGTCCCCGCCGAGGGTCACTCCGCCCAGGGACCGGCCGAGCAGCCGCCGCGATAGCCCTTCCCCCAACCCTCAGTCACCGACCCGACACGCGCGCGGAGCCGCTACCTGCCGCTGGCCGCGCCTGGGGCCGGACGGAACTCTAGCTGCGGCCGAGGTCCCCGCCACCGCCTGCAAGCTTCGGGCTCCCTGTTCCGGGCTCCGGGCTCCGGGCTCCGGGCTCCGTCCCGCAGCTCCCGAGCTCCGCTCCGGGCTGCGCTCCCCGCTGTGCTCCGTGCGCCCCGCTCGCTCCCCGGCCGCCAGCTCTGGTGCTGCTGGGACGCGGAGGCGGGGCTGTCGCCCCCACCTGCTCTGCGGGCTCCCGCCCAGGAGCCGCCGCCCGCGAGCTCCTGCCAGCCACGCACGGCGGGCGGGCGGGGTCGCCCGGGATCAAGGAGGCGGGTCCCAGCCACGGTGCGCCTCTGCGGGAGGGTCCCGGGTCTGAGCTGTGGTGACACTGAGGCCTAGGAGGGACCTCGGTGCGGGAGACACACGGCCTAACACTCCACTCCGGGGACACCCCACTCCGGGGACACCCCACTCCTTCGATTTATTCCCAAGTATCGGGAGCCCTTCCTGTGCTCCAGGCGGTGTCGTAAGAGGTGGGGACTGAAGAGAGGACAAGATCGCCTCTCGCCCCGGCAGAGTTCAAGGTCTAGAAAGAGAAACCGACCCAAGGGCAACTCCAACACAGAACCCAGAGGGGGCAGTCACAGACAGGGCTCCTGATCCAGACTCGGCGGAGGTCGGGGAAGGCTGCTGGAGGGGCCGACGTCTAAGGGATCTGACAGATGAGCGTGAATTGCCCGAATGGAGAGTGGCCTTGGGGAGGTGGGCTGTTTCAGACGTGGCCCGAGGGGCGAGGAAGCGGACTGACTGCCTGTGAAAGCTGAAACAAGTTTGAGCAGTCCGAAGACCTTGGTGTGGCCAGAAAATCCCGGTCACACCTCGTGTTCAGGCCCCTTGGAGGATGCAGGAAGTCAGGGTCTCAGGCCGGATGTGCTCCTCTAGGCGCAGTGATGGTTTGGCGAGGATTCCCTTTCTCCCCTGTCCTGTGCTCTCCTGCCAGCGGAGGAGGAGCCGGGAGGGTTTTCGTGGAGGGTTCACTCAGTGCTGCAAAGTTTGAGCGGCTGGTACTACCGAGCCAGGGACTCTGCAGGGCCCTTAGCGCGTGAGGGTGGGAGAGGCAGCGCCGGGGCTGGAGTGGAGGCCTGTGCGAAGCACCTGGGGACACAGGTGAGGGAGCCACTGGTGCGAGGTGGGAGTATCTTTACACAAGGGTTTCAACCTGTCTCCAGGTTCAGCTTCTGTAGCAGCTGCCCTCAAAGTATGTTCCCCAAGCGGCCCTTAGCTGTTTCCTTAATTACTCGTTTATAGCCTGACAATGTGTAGGCTTATATTTATAGCAATGATATTTAACTCACTGCTGATGTCTTCCACTCCTGTGTTGTCAGGAACTCGGGTTTCTGTTTGATTTAGGTGAAGAAGGGCATATGCGGAGCCGGTGGAGACCAATGAGGCACATGCCTCCCACCGGTCTCTTCTTTGCCCCTCCCGTCTTCCCTCCGGTACAACCACGGAAATCTAAAACGCCGTGCCCAGCCTGAAATTCGTCATTTTGCACAGGCGATCACTAAAAAGCAAACAATCTGCGTGCCCCCCACCTCCACCCGGCAAACAGTAACAGACACTCTCCTTCTCTGGATCCCTAATGCTCATGCTCATCAAACACGGAACTGTTAGTATTCTGATACAAAAAGGGTGAAAAGATAAATTAGAGGAGGCCTTTCCGTGAGCCCACAGAGTTCCTTTCCCATCAGGTCTTCTGCTGAGTGGCCCAAGGAGGAGCTACTTGAATGGAACGGCTGTTATTTTAAGGGACAGAGCAAATGATTTGTAAAAAAAAAAAAAAACCAATAAAACCAAAAACATGCTACGGGTTGGAAAGGCCTGGGAAATGGTGAGTGAGGAAAGTGGGGACATCAGGCCGACAGCTCTGGGTGCCCAGTGTTTCCTGCCGCCACGAAGTCCCTCTGCCACCGGCGTCTTGTTTTGGGGAAAACTGGAGTTGGGAACGGAGCGAGGAATTCTCTGAAGTACCTCGCCTGTTCTGTGAGACACCGACCAGGGGTTTGCTGACCGGTATTTCACAAAGTGTGAAAGCCTTTGACCCTTCTAAGCACATAACATAAAACAGTACAAAAAACCGTGGTCTTGGAGACAACAGATGTAGATTCAAGCTGTTGCCAGCTAGCTGTGGGATGTTTACGCTTCCGGTAGCTTGTGAGGCCCTTAAAGCCTGAATTCTTCTTTTAGAAGATTTTATTTATTTATTTTTAGAGACAGGAGAAGCAAGGGAGAAAGGGAGGGAAACATCTATGTGCGAGGGATACATCGATAGGTCGCCTCTCGCTCACCCCCAAATGGCGACCTGGCTGCAATCCAGGTATGTGCCCTGACTGGGAATTGAACTGGTGACCTTTTGGTTCGCAGGCCAGCCTACTGAGCCATACCAGCCAGGGCAAAACCTTAATTCTTTTATTTACAAAACAGGTGCAGTAATTTCTGCTATGTATCAGAGTCACTGCAGACTTCCAAAAGGTGAATTCTATGAAATTCACATAATTGAAAGCACTTAGTTTTACTGATAAGGGCCATAGAAATTTAGGAAACATTACCATTTTAATTTTTTTAAATAATTAATTTTATTTAGTTATTTTTTAAGTACAGTTTTTTGCCTATTTTTCAAAACGTTACCATTTTAAATTCAGCTGAACTTACTGGAAACACCAAGTGAAGGAAATTATTATTTAAAGTGAAAAATATTATTGATCGCTGTTCTCAAATTTACAAACTTCCTCGTGCTGTTTCAGAGTAGTTCCCTTCATCCACAAAACAGTCACTTCTTTTGCACTGTGGTGCAGGAAGTAGAAGGTGCTAGACCTTCGAGTCCCCGCTTCGCTTCTGCCCAGGTCTGTCACATTTCTAAGGTTAGCTATTTTCCATCTGGTTTTTTCGTGTGTCTGCGGTAACCGATAGCCATTAGGCACAAGGCCAATTGCTTTCCGCTTCTTTGTTGAAATGACTATTTACCGTGATCACTATAGTGATAATGGTTTACCAAGGACTTTCTCTGGTGTTGTCATAATGATCGTCCTCATAACCTAGGGTTTGGTCCCCATATCTGAGATGACGAAATGGAAGCTCAGAAGCTCTTGAGCTTGCGCCATCTCAAGGCTGGTAAGGAGGCAGGAAGTGCGACTGTGCGGTGGACACAGACGCCTGGCCCTCAGCCCTCCATTCACAGCCTGGTGCAGCACCTGGGGCAGAGCACCATGGCTGAGGGCACCACTGGCTGGATGACTCGGGACCACCTCAGCTTAGTTGTGCCTGGGGCAGCTTCCACCCCAGTAAGAACCATCATGCCACACTGCAAGCCTTTAAAAATGAAATTTATCTTTCTTCTGGATTACTTCTTTCTGTTACTGGTACCGACAGTCACGGGTTCTCTCAAGCCAAAAACCCGGGTCATCCTAACCTTTTCCTTGTCCCCCACCGCCGCCATCTGGTCCGCTCCGAAGCCCTATGCATTCTGCTCCCAGACGCCTTCTTCGCCTGGTTGTTCCCTGTTGTTGCTGCTTTAGCTCAGGCCTGGTCCACTGCCATCATCTCCAAACTGGTGTGTCTGGCTCCAGGGTTCTACCCACTCCTCCCAGCTGTTCTCTACTGTGCACCCGCAGCGATCTTCCAAAAGTGGAAATTCAATCATCTAACTCGCCTGCTTACAATCCTTCGGTCGGTCCCATTTGATCTCAAGACAGAACCTAACTAACTCAGTACACCTATAAATCCCTCCAAGATCTGCCCCCCACATCATGGTCCATGCCTCACCTTCCCCTCCAGCCACCCCAAAGCACTGGGAACCCCAAGCCATCCCCTTGTCTCAGAATTCCTTCTAGTTACCTGGAGAACTCTTCCTCATCCTTCAAGACCCGTCGGTGCTCGCTTCCTCTGGGGCTGCTTTCCGAGCCCTCCAGGAGGCCAGGGCCCCTCTTCTGAATACCTAACACCCTCTCCCTCCACTCGCACTCTCCAGCTGTGGGGTTATTTGCTGATACAGCAGCGACCTCCCCCCACCTTACCCATCATTTCGCTTTCTGTGTTGTCAGTTACCAGTGGTCAACCACAGCCCCCCAAAATTAAATGGAAAATCCAGAAATAAGCAATCTGTAAGTTTTATATTGCAGCCCGTTCTCAGTACATCCCTTCATCTCATCACACAGGCTTTGGGGCACTTCACGTCCTCACAAGAAGGGGGAGGATAGTACAGGAAGATGTTTTGAGAAAGAGGCCACACTTACGTGACTCTTATTACAACATGTTGTTGAGAATTGTTCTATTTTATTTAGTTATTGTTAATCTCTCATTGTGTCTAACTTTTAAACTTTATCATAAGGATGTATGTAAAGGAAAAACATAGTATATGTAGCATGTGGTATCTACCACAGTTTCAGCATCTATAGGGGTCTTGGAAAGTATCCCCCATAGATAAGAGGGACCACTGTGTCCTCAAGGGGAGAAATGGTGTCATTGTCCCAGTACTACCAGCACCTATCGAAGTAGGTATCATGCAGTAATTAGCATTCAATAAGTGTTTAATTGATTAATTAATTAACAAAAAAATCTTTAGCCTTCTTTTACTCACCTGCGCAGGAAAACTTCTGCTTGGAGGTGATAAGGCCAGGGAAGTAGAGGCTTTATTTTTCTCTGGGTGAGAAAGGACTTTGGCTAAACTTGAAATGATGGAGCAGTTTGGAACAGCCATAGAATAAGAAAGAGTTTCCAAGCAATTCCTGAGTCAGATTGCAACTTTGTAGCTTTGTTCTGTTATTTGAAGGGATGCAAACTTCTGAACAAACAGCCACACACATTTCAAATGTGAAAACAGGAAAGTAGCTCACGGTTAAATAGATAGACTTGGGATGTTTCCGTCAGTGTGGGCTGGCTGTGTTCGCAACGCCTGAGCAGAGACTCCCGGCTGGCAAGTGTAAGGGAGAACTGACCATTCTTGAGGAGTCCTGGAGTTGGACACATTACAATGATAACAAGGGGTGGTATGTGACATGGTGTTAAATCTCCACTTAATGGCAACAAAGAGAG